AGAGAGAGAGAGAGAGAGAGAGAGAGAGAGAGAGAGAGAGAGAGAGAGAGACATGATTTAAATAAGACAGAGAAACGATAGAGTTCAAGAGTTTTATCATAAAACACTTTCAAGTGTCATCATCATTAATGGAATAAAAACAATGTGAAATCACGTGTTCTTCCCACCATCCCGCTCCACTTCCTCGTTATCCATCTCACTCTACCCGCTCCCACTCGTGCATCATCTTGTCCACGAAACTCCACTCATCTACGTATCTAACAATACATCAGACGATGCGCTTACAGTCAGAATGATAAACAATAATTTTTTCCCTTTTATTTATAGCTTATTTCTCCCTTTGCAACTATCCTCATCCGTGCACCCTACATCCTTCGCCTCCTTCCTCTCCTCTCTCCTCTTTCACTCTTGTTACTTTTATTTCTCTGAATGATGAATGCAACAATCATGAAATACCACTCTATTTGTCTCCCTCTTCTAATTCGCAAAGTCGCTTCCTCCCATCATAAATTTATCGTCCTCATTGGCCTGACTATGCTCATCGGGATAAATGTTTGTGTTCCCAACCGAGAGTTCACTTATCCTTGTAAAGTTAATCGTGCCCAATATGTTCGACGACATCTAGGACATTGGAGATTCAAATTTTCCACCAATGCAATCACAGTCTCATTGAGTCTTTTTTCATGTTCTTTATTCATGCTCGCAAAAACATTTAACTCCTTCTTCACATTGCTTAACTCCTCCATAAATCGTTTTGGTGAATGAGCTAGCACGACGTCGCCAAGCAATTTTCTAAGCTGGTACACCTGCTCATTGTGACATTAAGCCCAATAAAACCTGGAGTGGTAATCCCACCGGTCACCGAATTTGTCCATAAATACGGCATCCATAAACTCTTCGCGTGCCTCCGTATACAATTGACCAAGATTGACCACCGTTGCACTCATCTGGTTGTCGCTCACAAGAAACTGCATGGCATTTTGCACCTCCAACATTGCATTTCTGTGAGTCAGCTTAGAACCAACAGTTCGAAGTGAATGTAACATCGCAATCAGATCGCTTTTCGGAAGAGCCTCCAAACTTTCAGTTGATCGGAAATCGAAAACTGCATTTCGAGAAGATGGATCTTTCCACGTCAGGCCACGACAGAACAACAATTTCCTCACTGCACATTCCGCCTTTTCAAGTCGCCGACGCAAAGCATCACACTCTTCCAGCAGGTGAGGATGAACTTGGGTGCTATACTTAACAATCTCATCAATCAAATCATATCGAATCTTCGACCTCATCCGAGAACGAATCCGCATCTCCATGTCCATGTTAATTTTTGGCTCCTCTTTGACATGCACAGTATCGGGCACAGAGGAATCTCTCACCTCATCGTTTCGTTCCTCCTGAAGGAATTTTTCGATGACTGACTTTGCGTTGACCTCAATATTGGCCAACGCACTCTTAACTGCATCCAGTTGCACCTCCTTCTTCTTCAACATATCTAACAACTCATCATGAGTCCAACAAAGTCCTTGGTTGTCTGTAACAAACCTACCAAATACTTCCCTCAAGGCATGATCATTTGGAACCTTACCCACCACACCATACTGCACCACAACATTCGATTGATGGCGACGTTGTTCCATATCATGCATCTCCCTCGCCATGGTATACTCATACTGTCCACAATCGTAGACGTACTCATGCATTCTCCGATCATCATTATAGAGGTAATGATCGTACGAAACGTCTAGATCATCTGCTTCATCGATATGCATCGACACATCGGAGCGTGATGATCCTGCACCCGCTCTCCGACCATGTGTCTCGACCGCGGCGTTATGTTGCGCGGACGCTTGACCATCTGCGCCGACCACCATGAAAAACAAAGAATATGCCAAGTGCAAATTAGGTGACTGTCTACATGGGGCGTCTGTGGGTCAGTGCCAGGTCAATGTCCGTCGATAATTGTCGGCATGGAGCAAACGCTTGACCATTTGCGCCGACCATCTGCATGCCTGTCTGTCGGGGCGTCTGTGGGTCAGGGCCAGGTCAACGCCTTCCTGTTTGCCTCTCTTTCTGGCTATCTGTCTGCTGTCCTGCACGTATGTCTGTCCGCCTGTCTGCCTGTCTGTCTGCCTGCACCCGGGCAGCGACTGAGGTCTGGACCAAACACTTAGCATTTAGGCCCAATCTGGGCCTATGTATGGGTCCAGTCCTGGGCTTTCAATTAAGGGG